GTGAAAACTCCTCCACCATCTGTTTTTCCTCCTCCTTTCCATCGGCTATGGTTAAACCGTTAAACGAAAGCAAAAAGTTTAGCAATGATAAAGCAATACCGAATAAAATATCGAACTCCATAATAATAGTTCTAAATAACATTCTGCCTAAAAATTTGACTGTGGGATTTTGCGGGAGGTTTGTTTAATCGTAAAATGATACAGTTAAATTTAAATGTGGTTTATAGGCAAGCGAATCGATTTAATCCCAAAATGATAAATAAATTAAATAAGAATACAAAACTTAGCGTTGAAGTCGAGATAAGACAACAGATAGCTTGGTTCCGGGAGCAGAGCTTTCGAAGGCAGCAATAGCAATATTGATAAGCAAAAAATAAAATGTTAGTGAGCTTTTGAATAGTATATAGCATGAGTTTGTCAGAAAATTCGTCCCCCTCTAATGGCTGTTGAACTCGCTATTTATAGTTGTACCTAGGAAACAAGATCCTAGGATCAAGCCTCCCTTAAATGACAATTATGGGGGGCATTGAAGAATGTGTAACGACAAGTTATGAATTCCTTGCTCTCTATAATGGACTATGTATTTAATACTGCAGAATATTCTTCATTGAATGCTACCGGATGGCAGACATTTATTTGTTTTTATGAGCAACATTCCCTTCGGAGACAATCGAGATTGCTGCTCCCGGACTTAATTTCCACCTGCCTCGTTTTCCATCTATATTCGGCTCCACGTGCCGCTCTATTATGCGGGCATTTAATGTGAAAAGATTTTGCCCTATAGAGATAGTCCCCCTGCTTTCCGATGGCACATCCTTATGTCACCGGGAAGTTGGTGAAGATACCAATACCTTTCTTGGCGGGAAATTCTCTGATCCCCTCTGAAAAGTTTCTGACGCTTGATTAGATGTACATCTCTCCGCATTTAACGCATTTAATGCTCCAAAAACGTGTCATCCCATGATTCAACAATATTTTTGCCGGTTCTCGAGGTAATCATGGCCATGATTTTAGTTGCATATCCCTTTACTTATACACTTAAATCTTCTTCTTTTACACTTTATAGTTTTTCGAACTCTCTCAAACTTTCTTTACTCAACTCACTCTTGCTTTCAACTTCTTTTAACCTTCTTCTTCAGAGAAACCCTTACTTCCTTCTGCTAACTATGGCCTCCTCTTCGAAAAACTAAATGTTCATCAAAGAACAAGGAAGAACTGATGATGTTGCTCTTCTTACGGTGAGAACCATTATCCCCAGAAAGCTTACTACGGCTAAGGACTTCGAAAAGAAGTTCCCTTCTGCTAACTCCCGCACCTGGGATGTTGGTGTATATCCTTCTTCTATCCGTCCTTCTAGCATCCCTGCTGTGAAGGAAGACTATGATTACCATGATTTGAACCTTATCGCTCCTGAACTAGCGGAGCGATTAACCTTCCCCAAGAAGGGTTATACATACGTTTATATATATCCTTTCACTTTGGGACCATTCTCATTGAGCGAGGGACTTGACTCCATAATCTTGGAGTTTTGCTTCCGTTACCAGGTCTGCTTGGCACAGGTGAGCCCTTTTGTGTGGTAGACGGTAGCCTATCTTCGACGTCAATGCCAGGAGACGGGGGAAGAGCTCTCCCTGGCTCGACTGATGAAAGATTCCCCAAGATTTTCCGTGAGGGAATGATTAACTTCAGCAAACGTGGTCATCATGCGTTGCTCACCAGCATGGATGATGACAACGATTATGGATGGATGGAGCGGTTCGTTGTAGTTACCACCGAGGACATCATCCCGACCGAAACTCCATCCTTTCCTGAATCATGAATGGTACACGTAAGTTCAAGGTCTGTCCTTTCTTCTGGTTAAAGGTTGTCCCATGCCATCACTGATCCTTCTTTTTTCATTATTTTAGCAAATCGGTGGACACCACCAAGGGTTGAAGGCTTGAACCAGTGGGTCCAGAAGATTTTGGGGATCACCATGCCTGAGACCCGCCGGTGGAAAGATTTGGCCCTTGCAGGTGGAAGCAAAAAATCATGGCAAGTTGAACTTGTTTTGTTTTTATCTCACATATAGGAAAAGTGGCTAACTTTTCTTCTTTATGTTGAATTCAGGTCTTCTGCAGGGCTCTGTTACCGTCTCCGAGGAGGATGTTTTGGCTGATCACGCAGATGCGATGAGGTTACTGCAGAAGGCCTTTACCCGAACGGATATCATCGGACGTGCTTCCGGTGCAAGTGCTTCCTCGCGGAGTCCCCATTCAATTACGAGTCCAACTATACTAGTTTCACTCAAATCTGACTTCGAATCGACATTCAAATCCCAAAAATTCATTTTATGAAATTTCTATAATTTTTCCCAAATTTCCATCTCAAAATACTAATTGATAGAGCTACAACTTTTGTTTTTGAATCATCTCCAACTTTCTTGTAGATTATAAGATATAAGCTTCCGAAGTCGGACTAGCGAACCTGCGAAATCACCTTTCTGCGGCCGCGAGAAGAATTTTGCGGACCACACAATTTCAACAGCGGTCCGCAAAATTCCTACTGACCCAGCACTTTGGGAGTTTGCGGCCGCACTTTTGCGCTCTAAAATGTGCCCTCCGCACTTCAACTGCTCCATAACATCGTCAGAGTGCCGAAATGCCCGGACTCGCTCAAAACTCACCCCGGAACTCATTCGAGCCACTCAAAACTCTGTCTGAATGTACCAACAAGTCCTAAAATACGATACGAACTTAGTCAGGCCTCAAATAAATCAAAAAGTGAATCGCATTCCAATTCAAGCCTATTAAAACTAAGGAAATTCCAACTTCTACGATCGATGCCGAAACCTATCAAATCAAGTCCGATTCATCTCGAATTTTGCACACAAGTCAAAAATGACATAACAGAGCTATTCCAATTTTCAGAATTGGATTTTGACCCCGATATCGAAAATTTAACTGCTCGGTCAAACTTCCAAACTTAACTTTCTATTTTATCCATTTTAAGCCAAATTCAACTACATACTTCAAAATAATTTTTCGGACACGCTCCTAAGTCCAAAATCACCATACGGACCTATTGGAATCATTAAAACTCCAATCTAAAGTCAAATACTAAAACTCAAACTTGGTCGACTCTTCCAACTCAAAGCTTCAACATAGAAAATTCATCCTTCCGAACAAATTCTGAAACTTCATGGAGGTCCTCATCAACCAAGATACCTAACCTATTCCTTCCCCCACCCTCCCAGAATACCATAGTTTGAACTTGTCTATATCACGCATCTTATCTCCTACCCACCTAGTCTCATGTACACAATTTATATTAATCTTCTTTTTCTCGAGAATCTTTGCTAACTCTATAGATTTTTCAGTCAAAATTCCTATGTTTCAAGACCCCACTCTCAGCGTAGTATCCAAGACAACCCTTACATTACTATACTATGCTTATGTTCCACTTCATTTCTGGCCATCGGCATGTCAAGCAGCCATATACTTGATCAATCCAACACCCACACCCACTCTTAAAAATAAATTTTCATATGAAGCGTTTGCTCCAAACTACTCACAACTCCACGTATTATGTTTTTTATGCTATTAATGGATCAAGCCATAAATAAACCACAAATTAGATAGCAAATCAAATCCATGTATCGTTACGGGGTATGCAAACATGTGAAGTGGATACATCTGCTACGACCCTAAAATTCAGAATTTATATTCTTCTCGACATGTGATTTTTGTAGAGTCAGTGTTTCCTTTAACTAACTACCAAAATTATCTTCCTCGCGTCAATCCTACAGATCTGAAGTCTTGTCTAATCCATACCACTGAACCTTCTCCACCTACGGGAGAAGTGGCAATTCCTTCTACAAGTTCCTTGCCTAATGACATATCAACAGTTCCAGCAAGCAGAGTTTCCCGTAACTCTGCCTTGACTAGTGACGAGATCACTGTCTCACCATCACATGTAACTTCTTCATCCCTATCGTCTCCTTTATCGGCTTCACTTGCTGCATATACTAGTCCTACTTCTACAGCCGACACTACTGGAAATGAAACTTTTCAATCTCAGGACTCAACTCAGCCACATATCCTTCCTCTTCCGGTACTTGCATCTCAGACTCTGCTATCTAACTAGCATGATTCATCACTCAATCGACCAGTGACACGGTTAATGAACAATATTTTCAAACTAAAAGAGGTGTTTGGTAATTTGGCTACAACATGCTCATCCCTCTTTTGTTGGCACCTAGTACATATTGTCAAGCTAGTCGACATCCTCAATGATGTTTACATTACAAGCAGAATTTGATGCTCTGCAGTGCAGTCAAATATGTTTTTTGGTACCCCCTCTCCTCATCATAATGCCATAGGATGAAAATGGATTTTCAAAATCAAACACAATCCTGATGGCACAATAGAACACTACAAAGCTCGACTTGTCGCTAAAGGATATACCCAACGACCAGGCCTTGACTTCAACTCCACATTCAGCCCCGTAGCTAAGCACACAACTAATCATGTCATTATCTCCATTGATTGACTCCATCTTAGGTTGGCCTATCCACTAGTTGTATGTTAATAGTTCCTTTTTACAAGGCTCTTTACATGACACTGTTTCTACAAAACAACCTCAAGGCTTTGCGGATCCTCATTTTCCTGATCATGTATGCTCATGAAGAAAGTTATTTATGGTCCCCGCCAAGCTCCTCGTGCTTTGTACATGGAGCTTCGTTCTTACTTACTTTCATAATAATACTCATTCTGAAACTTCACTGTTCATCTATCATTGTGGTGACTCTCTTCTCTTCCTTCCAGTTTATGTAGACGATATTATTATCACATGCAACTCAAAGTATGTTGTCCAGTCTATTATAGCAAAGTTGGCACCTCGATTCTCTCTTAAAGATCTTGGTTGCTTGCACTATTTCGTTGGAGTAGAGGTTACTCCCTACAATAGTGGATTAATTCTTACACAACGCTAGTACATTTTTGATATACTGGATCCACAATATGTTAGATGCCAAAGGGGCATCCATTCCACTGTCTTCCTTATCAGATTTGTCTCTCAATGAGGTCTCCGCCCCAACAGATGCCAAAGAATATCGAAGAGCTATTGGTGCCATACAATACTTATCACCAACTCATCCAGCTATCTGCTTTGCAATAAATAAATTAGCTCAATTCATGCATTCTCCAATAGTTAACCATTGGCAAGCTGTCAAAAGGCTTCTTAGGTACCTCAAACACACTATTTCCTATGGCTTACACTTCAAGAAGTCTTCGTCTCTATCGCTAACAACATTCTCAAGACGCCGACTGGCGACTGGGCTGGCAGCTATGACGATCACATGTCCATATCAGCCTACTTAATTTTTCTTGGATCTAATCCATTAGTTGGTCTTCCAAAAAGCAAGTACAGTTGCTAAACCATCCACTAAAGAAGACTATGAAGTAGGGGCTACAACCGTTGCAGAAATAAATTGGCTATCTAATCTTTTGCATGAACTTTCGCCAATCCAGTTAAAATTACTTGTTGTATGTTGCGACAATATTGGTGCCACTTATCTTTGTAAAAATCCTTTTTTTCCATATTAGGATGAAGCATATGGCCATTGACTTTCATTTTCTGCGCGATTAAGTTTCCAAGGGAAATTTTGTCGTGAAACATATACCAACAGGTGAACAATTAGCGGATCCACTAACAAAGGCTCTTCCTAAGAGGCAATTCTTCCAACAAGTCAACTAGATAATGCGGGGCAATGATAAAGATAATCCAAATCCTAACAAATTAGTCTCGTCAACGTGAATATCTCTATTTTGTTGTGAATATTGTTTACTAAGTTCTAGTTTTACTCATTCTTAAACTCTTGTGAATATCTCTATTGTATTTAACTATTTAGATTTACCTTCCGAATGTACTATAAAAAGGCACATAGTTGAGTCAATGAAATCATCCCTTTCCTGTAGATATTGAGATTCATAAGATGTCGGCATAGTAGTATTTATATCATAGTAGATGAGACTTAGGGTGTGTTTGGTACCAAGGAAAATATTTTTCAATTTTCTCATGTTTGGTTGGCTTAAATATTTTGGAAAACGTTTTCCTCGTTATCTCATTTTTCTCCAATTGAAGAAAAATAATTTCCCTATCAACAGAAGGGAAAACATTTTCCAAAACTTTTTCTCAACCTTCCCTACCTTATTTCACATCCCTACCAACCCCCACCAACCCAC